GTGTCAGCTTCAGCCTAAGAGTGAGCCTGGATGGGAAAAAACATTTCCAAAGACCAACATTAGTAACTGGAGCTTCCTGGGCTTGATATTTCTCCATCTGTGTTCTTAGCAGACTTCCCTCCCAAACTTTGGTTCAAACTACACAAGGATGAGGGTTATGGGACTGTGACAAAACCCCAGCACATGTTCACCCCCCAAACCAATCTGTCTTGGCTGATGGCTTCCCAATATCCCATCCCACTGAGTTGTGCTCTTCAGTGACACAAACTCCAGTGGTGCTCCTGGGGGCTCCTCAGGTCTCCACCTTCTCCACTCATCCCACCATTCAGTTAAGGTATGGCTGATGTCTGGGAATGTATCTTCCATGAAGGGTGCTTGTTCTGAGGATGAATAAGGGAGGAGAACAGCTACAAGAAAAAAGAGAGGACAATGGACAGCTGATAACAGAGCAAAAGCTACTGAGTGAAGAAAACTGCTGGAAATACAGAGCAGTAGTGATAGCAGGGCTGGGAATTTTTGCTCTGGACAACACACAGTGGAACAAAAGCATGGAGCAAAACTGCAACCTGGGAAACAGGTTGAGAAGCAGAAGATGTAATAGATTGGACATGTTATTTCACCCCAGAGCTGTTCATACACCAGGAGGACAAGGAAATGGCTTGCCAGGACCACATCAGGTTGCTTGTGAGTGGCCTTGGGTCTCCCAAAAGGCCATCCCACACCTCTCCAGTGATGTTGAAGGAACATCAACCCACACAGAACAAACAAAGCACAAGCACAGCAGCCGAGCAAGGGCTGCCACAGTGCTGAACGGAGTACCCAGAAAGACAGAGGTCTGAGCCTTGATCTCCCAGCACCCTTGGGCACTCATTCCTGCAGCAGTGGGTGTAGGTGAGCAGTGAGGACACAAGTTGGAAGTGCGAATCACAGCCTCTGAGCTGTTGAAGCCCTACAGGAGCCACACAGTCGTATCCTCTCTGCTTGACACTGCAGGAGCTCCCCAGCAGCAGAGGGAGTAGCTGCTGGAAGCATCCGCACACATCCCAAACCAAGCTGCGCTCGGTCCCCTCGCTGAATCCATCCCACCACACCGGAGGTAGGTTTGTGCTGCCTTTGCTGCCCGCTGCCATACTCCGCTGCCCCTCTCCGATTGAAAGAGAGCAGCACGGCCAGGGATAAGGAGGTTTCGCTCCCGGCGAGGCGCTGCCAGCAGCGAGCAGCCCAGGCACACAGAGATCAGCCAGACCAGCTGCGAACAGAGAGGCAGCAAAGCGCTATGCGGGAGGCAGAGGCGGCGCGGCCCGGCAAAGGGGAAGCTGGGGTGCCTTTTTGCCACGTCTTCATAGCATGTAAACAGAGTGAAAGGAATTTTTTTTTCCCTTCCAGTATAACCCCCCATCCTTCCAAACCAAAGGATCTCAGTAAAATATTTGCCTTCAGGAGAAAAGCGCATGAGCAATAACTTTCAGGGTCATTTACATCTATTTACTGGAGCTAATAAATATGTAAATTGATTTTAAAACTGTGGACCTGGGTCCTTTTGGAAAGGCAGACACAGAGCCCAATTTGGATGGCTGCTAAGCCAGTGTAATTACAAAATAATGCTGTAAATATTCCTTCTTCTTTTCCCTTTTTCCTTCTGAATCCATGATATGGGGATTGAACTTGGGTATGGACCTGAATTCTGTGGATCCTTCCTTCTTTCTTATACTTTAAACCTAGATGAATTTGGAAACAAGCACTGTCTGAACTGTGACATCCACATCTGCTTTTTAGGGAAGAGAGGCAATATCAAGATGGAGACATTTTACCTGGTTTAATATCTAAATTGTTGCTCAAAAAGTGTCCACCAGGAGTGGGGACACATAGCAGCAGAATAAGGCATGATATGGAAGATTCAGAATTAATTATGGGATGATCTGGGGACATCCCACTCCCCTTCACTGCCTGAAAGCCAATGGCACATTGGAGGGTCAGTCCCTCTCTGACCTGGGCTGCTGACACTGATTTTTGGCTTCCATGGGGAATATCCTGTTATAATGATTTCCTGTGCAAATAATTTCTGACTAACAATGTGTTACAGCACTAAGAGCTGTAGGAGAGCATCTTCTGCCTGTCATTTACAAATGACAGGCACAAACTGAAAGTGGTGTAGTTCTGCTTTGTGGTTCTGCTTTGCCTCTGTCCCTGTAGATTTTTTCCCCAGGTGCAAACAAGAAAAACCAGAGGGTTTTGTAGCAGCAGCACCAGGGTTTCAGGTAGCCTGCACACAAGCTCACACACACATGGATATAGACAATGTGAAAGCAAACCCAAACCTCATAGTTTCATTCTTGGCTGGAAACTCATTGCTTTTCCTCTCAGAAAAGTTCATTGGAAGCCTTTACAGAAAGACTGATGTCTAATCCAGTGGCAAGTTTAATGGAACTGCAGAAGCATCCCTTATTAATCTGTGATATTGTGGCAATGTCACCTGATGTTCTGCATTCTCTGTATAACCATTTAGGACCTGATGTTGCAAACATAAGGACTAGGAGCCTCACAGGGTGTTGTAGGACCCATTTCCATACTTCCCAAATGGATAAGCCTCCAGGCCACATCCTGAACTCGAGTTTGAAGGTGCTTAGAGCTCACACTGCTTTGGACCAGCTGCTTCCCGTGGCAGTAAGGCCGAGCAGACCCGGCCCTGGACCATCAGCCACCGGCACTGGGCCACCCCTGTGCTGCAGGAGGGAAGCTGCTGGGTAGGTGTGTCAGTAGATGTGTCACTCCACCACTCCTTTTCCTCATCCCTCAGAAGGTAAATAAACTTAAACCCAAATTCACCCGCTGCTGTTTGTGAAGAGCAAATAATTGTGAGTTTGAAGTGAGGTGGGATCACACCATGCTGAGGACCCTGGGGAAGGAGAAGGTGCCCAGCACAGCCTGCAGAGCAGGGCAGCTTCCAAGCTTGGGAGCAGCTGGTCTCTTCCTGAAGCACAGCCTTTGCATCCACAACTGGACCTGATGAAAATAAAAATGTAGCAAACACCTGCGCATTTAACATCAGTGTATTTCACAGAATCACAGAACTTTTAGGGCTGGAACAGACTTCAAGATCATTTAATTCCAACCCCTTGCTACACTTCGCACTAGACCAGGCTACTCAAAGGCCTGTCCAACCTGGAACATTTCTAGGGATGAGGCATTTTCACATCCACAGCGAAAAATCTACACTGTGCTGTCTTTGAACACACACAGAGGAGTGAACTTGCTTGAGGCTGGGACAAAAACTACACCGAGGAGATTGCAATCACCTCCAAAGCAGTGGCATGTGCACCTCACAAGAAGAAATAAAAGCACATCATCTAAGTTTGCTCAGGTTTAGCGAAGGTCAGAGATTTTCACACCTAGGTGAGCTGTCATCTGCCTCGGGGCAATTCTCTTTTCTCTCACATCCTTTGCTGGAACAGCAGGAGAGTTTTACTGGCGTGAAAGACTAAGCTGGCTTCAGGCTGTAAAGGACTTGAGTCACAAACCACTTCTCCCCCATCCCCTCGAAACACATTTTCGTATTAATTCAGGACCTTCCAAAATTGTCCTAACGTCTCCTCACCTGTTTGTGCTGAAAACCTGTGGAGGGCCGAGGTTTAAGCTATGGGAGGTGACAAAACATATAGGATTTGCTCGAAGCAAAGTAGTTCTCAAGTGATGGGCTCAAAACTTCTCCTTCTTTAAAATACTGAGCTTCATTTCTAGGAACGTAAACCACATGAAGGGATTACCTAAGAACAAATGCATCATTAAAACACGAAGCAGCATCCAAGAAAAGATTAAAAAGTAACCATTCTGTTAAAAAGTGCAGCAATACTTGCACGAGTGGCAGACTCTAGGCTCTGGAATAAACTTGTGTCACCACAGCCCCTGTCAGTACAGTGACCAAGTGGGAGCTTCACATGTCTGGTACTCCAGATTTCTTAAAGGGATATTTAGAACCAAAAACTTTATCGCTGCTTTTTAACACTTGCTGCCTCTTTAAATGTTTTCCTCTTTATTAAAACCTTAGTCCTTTGTTTTGGGAAGTTTTTGGTTGAGTTTTGTTGTGGTTTTTTGTTTGTTTGTTTGTTTTTTGCAAGTTCTTTCATTTTTTATTTCTTAAACCTCCCATTCAAAAACTGTTTTGGCTTTTAATGAAGGGATTTTTTTTCTGCATCCAGCAAACTGTAAACCATGTCGCTTGGATACAGCAAAAAGCTGAAATTCCACAGATTTACATAGTCATACAATGTGTTAAGGGGAAAGTGTGCTGGGCATTCTTTGATTTTTGTATCTTGCATTAGCATTTGTAGGCATTTGAAAAAGGGAAAAATATAAAGAAAGGAGATATAAAGGGGAAAGAAAGAGAGGGAAAAAGAGAAAGAGAGAAAGAGAGAAAGAGAGAAAGAGAGAAAGAGAGAAAGAGAGAAAGAAAGAAAGAAAGAAAGAAAGAAAGAAAGAAAGAAAGAAAGAAAGAAAGAAAGAAAGAAAGAAAGAAAGAAAGAAAGAAAGAGAAAGATTGCTGTGATGAACGTAAAATATGACCTTATCTTTTTAAAAGTTTGTGCTGTCCCTCTTGTTTAGCACCAGTGCTGCTTACCCTTTCCCTTCAAGACGCTTCAGAGCTGTTAAGCATCTAGGGGTGATAATTTGACTTTCAGCTAAGCCGGAGGGCTGCAGCAGACAGCAGTAGGTGGTGATGTAATAGGTACCAACGCACATGGATATATAAATGTCGTGGCTAGGGCTAAAGCGCTATGGCTGAGCAGCTATAGAAGAAGATCAGCACTTCAGACAAGACTCCTGGAGTTGAGATCAAGTTCAGAAGCTCTTGCTCCCGGGATTTCCTCTCCATGCAGCCAGCCCAGGGAAACCGCAGATCCTCAGGGGACTGAGCACTAAGCTCTCTCCCTCCCTCTCCGCTTTGCTTTCTGGTTTTCTTTATTTTTTTTTTTAGTTTTTTTTTTTCAGTTTTTTTTTTTTTTCTGTTTGGCTTTTGGTTGGTTTTCTTTTTTTTTTCCTCCCCTTCTTTGACCCCGGGCTCCCATAAAGTGGGAGCTGGGGGCAGAGCGTGTATTTTCGGAGCGACCGGCGGCCCTTAAACCGGGATGCCTCTCCCCAGGGCGCTGCTGCCGGCGCTGCTCCTAGGGCTGCTGTGGCCAGGGGCTGTGCGTGGCCGGTCGCCCCCAGGTCGCCTCCCCGCCGGGTCCCACCAGCGCCGCTGGGACACGGCTCTTTTCGCCCGCTCCGTCGCTCGCCTCCCGGCTGAGCGCCACGATGCCGCCCGCGACGGCGACTACCTCCTGGGCATCAAACGGCTGCGGCGCCTCTACTGCAACGTGGGCATCGGTTTCCACATCCAGGTGCTGCCCGACGGCCGCATCGATGGGATTCACAGCGAGAATCGATACAGTAAGCCGGCGACAACTCCCGCGGCGGGGCAGGCGAGATGCTCCGCGCCCGCGGAACCGTCGGAGGACAGTTCTGCAGGAGCGGAGCGAATGAGCTGCCCCGGAGAGTGGCGTGTCCCGAAAGGAGGGTGGGTGCGTGGCAGACCTCGAGCTTCCCTCAAAAGTGCGGCCGCCGGCAGCACAGTGGGGCTGCGCCCCTCGTCTCCCCCGCGGGTGGCGGGACCCGGGGCAGCGGGGCGGCGGCGGACCCCATCGGAGCTCCGGAGCAGCTCGAAGGGCGCTCGGGAGGGGCTTGTCGGCGCTGCTCAGTGCCGCGTTGTCCCCTTGCTGCCGTCAGGCATCAGGTGTCGGGGTTGCCTCAACATCTGGAGGATCCGCAGTGCCGTGGGCCGCCCACTCCGAGAAGGGATTGGGGTGCGCCCAGCTCACCCCCCAAACTTGAAAAGCATCTGCCGGTGACTTAACCCCGCGGCCCCGTGACTCTGATATCCAACTGAAACAATAAGATCTGGGAGCGGGGATATAAGCTGCATGATGACAAATGTTTCATTTGCCCTAAGCTTATTTTAACCTTGCCTACACAAGAGGATGCCTGGGGGCAAAATAAAAATAGACACTTAGCTAAAAGAAAAGAGGTCCCAGCATGGGGCATAGGATAGCACATGGAGTATGAGGCTGGAGTTCTGTGGCCACCCACAGCAGTACTGGGATGTGGGGATCCACACTGGGGATGGCAGCCTGTGGGTGAGTGCAGCACTGTCACCACACACTCTAGGGCACACCCGTTTGTCCCCCTGATTTCTGTGTCTCCTGTATAGGTCTGCTGGAAATTTCTCCTGTGGAAAGAGGTGTGGTGAGCATATTTGGTGTCAAAAGTGGACTCTTCGTGGCCATGAATAGCAAAGGCAAACTCTATGGATCTGTAAGTAGCCACTGAGTGTGTGCCTGGGGAGGGGATGGTGGTCAGCTGGGGTGAGATGTGTGCAGAGTGCTAAAAGCTCCCCAAGCTCCATCCTTGCCCCTCCTGAGTCGAGCAGCACAGAGCAGTCCTTCCTGCCTTGCCAGCAGAAGGTGTGCTGCCCAGTTATGCTGCCTACTGAGCTTTTGGAGTGAAACCCTCTCTTCTGCATTACACTTCCTTGGGTCTCACATAAAGACTGTAGTCACCCAACCATGGCTGCACATCTTGTCTACTTCATAGACCAACATATCAGTCATTTGTGTGGCAAGACTACAAGCTAGGCTTAGTCCATATATTTGTTATATCTAAGTACAAACAGCCTTAGGAAGGTGTGGCAATCACTCCATCTCTCAGAGGGCACTTGAACTTGTGATCAGCCAGGCCCCACAAGTGACCCTTTATGATGTGGTGAATTAGTGACCTATTGATCACTCTTTGTTAATGCTCTTGAACAGACAGTCAGTTCCTGTGGCAGTTCAGCATCCTTGGGGTCTAAACTTCTGTTTAGAAGGAAGATCCACTAGGAAGACAACACAGACCTTCTTTTATGTGGGTTCTTCGGAAAAGATAAAGACATCTTGTAAAATATACTTGAGGTGGACAATTACAGGGTGTATCTCTGCTCATGTTGAGCTGTCTTCCTTCTTTTGAGTTCAGTTCTGTACAAGTGACTGTGATGAGCATAGTTTTAAACTCATGTTCCTGGCTCTCCTTTCTCATCCATTAATTTCCCATGTCATGTTCCCCAAGTGAAGAAACTTGGGCTGAGGAAGAGCCAAACTATGTCAGAGTTAACTGGGGCATTTTCACATGAAGGCATGAAGTATCCAGGATTATTTTCTGGGCCATTGGTCCTGTTGTGGAGGATTATGCCTTATATAAAAACCAGGCAGAATCAGTCACCAAAATGCTTTCTTAGGGATACTGCTTTCTTGGTGTCCTGAGTAAAATAATCCCTAGTGCAGAGTTCAATTTGGCAGTCCCTCTCACAAACCCTGAGGTTTTAGCCCAACAATAAGAGATGAGTTCATTTGTCCCTTTCCAGATAAGACACTTGCAAGACCTGTCCCTCTTTGTATGTACTTGCAAATGAAACCACATCCATGAAAGTTTGCCTGCTGTCAGATCTGTTTTCCTGATCCATTAACCTAAGTTATCCAAACCCTACCTTTGATTTTAAATCTAAAGAAGAAAAAGTACTGTCCATGATGAGGGGCTTTAAAATGTCTCTTTCTCCTCAAGCAATATAAGAAAGTGCCAGTATTCTGGATTTTCTGAAGCCTCTCAGGCAATTTATTGCTGGTGGGACATCCAGGAGCAATTCAATGAGCAGGACCATGGAACTGGGCTTGGGCCTTACCCACCTCAGCTCTGTTAAGGTGACCCTGCCCCTCCCATGGGTGTCCTTCCCACCTTTAGGTGTATGTGCCTGGCCTGGGCACAGCATCCCTAATTGATCCTCTGGCTCCTGAGTCCTGTTTGAAGCTTCAGAGGCCACTTCAAAAGATTACTAAGTGGAGGGGGCTCACCTGCACATTTGCCCACAACACACCTTCTTACACCTGGTAGCAAGAATATTTCCACACCTGATGTTTAAAATTCCTTCCCTCTCATTCCTTCCTTTTCATTTCAGACCCATTTCAATGATGAGTGCAAATTCAAAGAGATTCTCCTGCCAAACAACTACAATGCTTACGAATCCAGGATTTATCCCGGGATGTACATAGCCCTGAGCAAAAATGGAAGAACAAAGAAAGGCAATAAAGTATCGCCCACAATGACAGTGACACATTTTCTTCCTAGAATTTGAGACATCTCCCTTCAGACCTACCTCAGCACAGGGGAAGACGCAGAACAGAACACCTTTGGGGAAAAGAAACATGGTGCACTTTTACTGAAGAGTTTTATGCAAGAGTAGGTGTAAGATATTTAAGTTAATTATTTAAATCTGTATATATTGTCACAAAATTTATTTATAGTTACTTTTTAAAAAAAATTTAATCTCTGAAAACAAAACAAACCTCCAACCCAAGGTCTTTCATTTCATGGTGCAACAGTAGAAGTCTTCTGCTTTGTGGTTTATTTAATTCAGTTGAGTTATCACAGGTGTGCTGCTACTCCATGTCCTAAACCAGGTGACATCCAATTCCTCTCTCCCAAAGTTTTGCACTGTTTGTGCGTTGCTCAGTGTTTATTGCTGTATAGGTGTGAGTTTTGTTTGTTTGTTTGGGTTTAATGGTGGCTTTGTCCTCCCCTGAACGTTTTCCAAGCTGTCGGTGGCTCCCAGTGCGGTTCCTGGCCAGGAGCAGGAGGTGCCAGGGTGGGATGCCAGATGCCAGTGTGGAGCCACATGCAGTGCCTGATCCCCTTTGCTATTTCACTGCAGTGGGATTGGTTTATCCCGGCACAGGAGCACGGTGCTGCACAGCTACCCCACAAATCTGTTTCTAAATCCACCAGCGCTGAACTTTGAACTGCCCTGCAGTCCATCTCCTCAGAGAGGCTGAAATGCCTCAGCCGGCTCAGCAGGGCTGGGGTTTTCTCTGCAAAAAAACCCTGTCCCTTAATGGGAGCTTTCATTTGGCACCATTGCTTGGCATGAGGCTAAAATACAACGTCAGTCCCTCCCCCAGCAAATGCACTGTGGAACACACGACAATGAACCAGCTCTACTTCACTCTAACCAAATTCCCTTTCTTATTTGGAGACCACATTCATTTTTCAAAGTGTGGGGAGCTCTATAACACTCCTAAGTTTTCTACAAGGGAAAAAAATTTGCTGGATTGTAGTAAACACTAGCTCCACAGAAAATATTTAGATTGATGATGACGAATTGAGGTTGGGTTTTATTATTTTTGCTGCAGTATTTGGAAGGAGAAATATGCTGCTTTTTTTTTTCTGTCTCATTCCCTGACGAAGTTGGTTAATTTCTACCTCACTTACTCTCAAAGCCAGTCTCATAACAAATTCTGCATGGCAGGAAGGTGCCCACTTTCCTGCTTGGGCTTAAAGTTCTGGAGGAGGGCCTGGGGAACAATCATAATCCCAAATCTCTCTTTTTTCCATATGTAGCCAAAAGTATTCAGGATAGAGTCGGTTGCATCCTATTTGAGCCTTGTCACGTTTGAGCTATCTTTACCCAGTGGTTTACTTTTAGTAAGGGTAATCATGGTGAAAATATTTGCAGGCAGCTGTCAGGCTGCAGTATTATATTGTGATGAAGTAATCCTATATTTTTCCTTATCTATTTTGCAAGTGTAACTCATGTCTCTAATGTGATGAAGGAAAAGATAGATAGATTTGATTATGGGGGAATCATTAAAAGGATTCATGTGTCTTTTTCATGTTTTTTCCTTCTTTTTTTTTTTTTTTCTTTTTTAATTTAAAATATACTTAATCTTTGGGGCATCAACATGTTAAGTGGGATCCAAGACTAACCACAATGTTTGATGACTAAGAGGACGTTTACAGATCATCTTCCAATCTAAACTAATTATTTCCAGCTACACAAATCTTTGATTCAGCTTTTTTTCTTCTCGTCTTTACATTCCTACACAAAAGCCTTGGTTCCTTTGTAAGGGCATAGACCTGTCTGTATCCTCTACTTACACACGACCTTGAAGAGAAACTTAATTCACCAAAGTTCAGTAAGATCAGAGCAGACCAGGACCAGACATTAAGGCAGCTGCCCTTGTAGAAAAATAACTAAGGAAAACGAAATGTCATGCCTAAGGATTTTAATTTTTTTTTCCTGTAACACTGGGAATTTTCTGTACTTTCTATGTTTTTTATATGTGAATAATCATTGTGTATTTATCACCACTACCTCTGACAACTGATGATTTTGCTCCAGATTTCAGATAGCAAAATCAGACCACAAAAGGTTCTTTCTGGGAATGGTTCTTCTTTGCCACTTTTCACTTCATTAAATCCACAACCAATGGCCTCACATGAGATATGTTCAGAGGTAGTTGTTGCAAATTTTAAATATTGTGATGCAACCTTGATAACAATGTTACATGGTATGAGCTTTCACCATTTACCAGAATCTGTCTGTAGTTTTATACAGGTGCTGTTCAAGACTGTGGTGTATGTGCTGTGCACACTTAAATGCATAATAAATGATAAATGTTTACAATGCATGACACCTGATATTGATTTTTAATTCTTTATAATGGAATGCATGCAGCAAGGAAAGGAAGAAAAAAATGCTATTTCACTTTCCCAAAGCCTGGGGAGCCTTTGCACCTTTGCCAGCTACTCCAGGACTGACAGCCTGGATTTCTTACTCAGCTAAAGTTCCCCCTGCCAAAGCTGGAAATTGTCCAGGAAAGCCCAGTTCCAAGCTCAGTAACAGATATGCACTCTTGCATCTGCCACATGCTGCTGCTCTCACTTGTGTTATTTCCCTGGTTATTAACAATGGCAGCATCCAAAATTAGTTGTCAGGGACACAAACCAGCTGTAAGGTTTTTGTTACTCATTGTTAATATTGCAAACAAACCTGATTGCCTGGTTTTGGCTCCACTGAGCTCTGGTTGCTCTCTCTATGAAGTGTGCTAACATCAATGCAAGAAACCTGTTTGGTTTGGGATAGGATCTTTATAAAATTAGTGTTCACACTCAGTACAAATGTACAGACTCTGAAGTGCTGCATGCCAGCACATGGTGAGATTAGGAAACATTTATTCACTGGAAGAGTGGTCAAAGCTCTCAAGGGAAGTGGTGGAGTCACTGTCCCTGAAAGTGTCCAAAAAATGAGTAGATGTGGCACTTTGTGATATGGTTTAGGGGACATGGTGGTGTCTGGTTGAAGGTTGGGCCTGATGATCTTGGAGGCCTTTTTCAACCCTAATGACTGTGATTCTTTGGTACAACTTTTATTTGTAAATACTCAGACAGGTGCGCTTGCACACACATGTACGCATCACGTCCAACTCTCATACTTTCAGTTTTACCCCTTCCCTATGACTAGGAAGGGTTTCATAATGGGAGACACAACATTCAGTTTTGATTTTCCACTTCCTGACAGCAAAGGGAATTTGTCCAGCTCAGTAAGGACATACAAAACAGAAATCCAGACCCCATCATACAGCCTTCTCCATTGTCTACAGAGGGATGCTCTTTTTTCTGTTCCTGGCAAAGGGAAGGCGATGGATGAGCTGGGAATGTCCAGTGCCCTCACTATGAACAAGGGCAATTTCTCTCTAAAGTTGTACAGGCTCTATAAATACGTGGCACAGGTGGAGCTTTTATAACTGCACAAGTATAGCTGCAGCGTATTTAATGTTGCTATGAATAGAGCCAGAATAAATAGGCAGGCAGACATAAGAATTTCTCATAACTAACTTTTTTGTTTACAATGTTCTAAAAAGAACAAACACAAATTTATCACTGCCAGGGCTGTCAAAATTATAACAAAAAGTTGTCGCCAGGGCTAAAAAAAATTTTGCAGCCTTGGGAATGAAATTTTATCAATTACAATTTTAGGACTGGAGAAAAATCCTAAGTCTTGGCTGTTAGGAAGGTGAGATTTCAGGGCAGTAGCTTTGCAGGCTCATAGGACCTGGAGTACTGGTGCTGCACATATGTCCTACCCACAGGAAAATTTAAGGGCCCTCACAGATGGAGCAGCTTGAGATGTCAAAGAGGACTCCGGAGAAACTTTTCTCCTCCAGGATCACCCATTTTTCGCTTCATTGCTAAGCCAGCTTTCATAGAGTCATAGAATGAATCACAGAATCATTGAATCTTTGAGTCATAGAATGGTTTGGCTTGGAAGGGGTCTTAAAATCCACCTTGTTCCAAATCCTCTGCCATGGGCAGGGGCACCTTCCACTAGACAAGGCTGCTCAAAGCCACATCCAGCCTGGACTTGAACACTTCCAGGGATGAGCTTTCCTCACATTACCCTTCGAGGTAGTAAAATCAATGCATTAAAGGTAAAAATCAATTTTAACTCTCTGAAAGAAGGCACTGATATGTCACGGGCTGCAACATTTCTGAGACAGCTGAAAGCATTGCCACGGCCAAGGTTCCTGCCACCCACTGAACATTTTTCTGCATGGAACAACCAAAAACCTTTCCTGAGGACAGGTTCTGCCAGCCAGGCAGATTTCCCTCCACCCAGGGATGATCCAGCCTGTGGGATAACCAAAAGGGGAACTGTGCCAGCCTGGCCCGGCACCATGCCCTCGTTCACCAGTTGAAGGACAGAGACTCCAAGCCCCATCCCTCGTTTGCAACCTTGCCCGTGTTAAACAGTCTGTGCTGAGTTTTTGTGACTCACCTTTGACATCTCCCAAATTGTCTGTATCTGATCTGCGCTAGTAAAAATCAGCATGACAAAACACTGCCTTGTATATAAATAGCCACAGGTTTTTCAGAGCAGTCACGGAGTTTATGGTGCCCGAGTGAGTGGTTCACCCTTTACCACTTGGTTTCCACCGCAGCCTGTGAACTGACCATGCAAGTGGCCAATTAAAGGCACTTTGTTAAGGGCTGAGGAGGCTTTTAATAATGACTAGTGAGCACTGCATCGAGAGAGTTGAAAGGAATTCCCTGAAACGCTGTAGTTCCCTTTATATGACACAAAGTACCGTTGCTTGCCAAGCACAGATGAGAACAGATTTTTAATGTGGAAAAGCCAGTGTGAAGTTGAAAAAAAACCCAAAACAACCCCACCAAAACAACCCCACCCCTGTTCTCCTTCTACTAAAGAATCTAAAAATGGATGGCACGGTGCAAAATCATAATGCCAAGCTGCTATCAGGAAATACAACATGCAAAAGAGGGACACAGCACAATTTCTGTTTCCTGTGTATGTCATGATTTCCAGACTTCAGACAAGAAATATTTCCCTGAACCATTTGGTTCAAAAATTTGATTACTTAAAAATATCATCCAAGAAGTGTCTACCACCAGTCACTTCAGGCAAACAACTACTTAATGCAAAACAATGTCACTTGCTTACATCATAATTTTCATCATAACTTCCAAGACCAGGTTGGATGGGGCTTAGAGCAGCCTGGGTAGTGTGTCCCTGGAAGGTGTCCCTGCCCATGGCAGGAGACAAAAAGAGATGGGCTTTGAAATCCCTTCCAACTCAAAGCATTCCATGATTCCGTGCTCTTAAACACCATCCAGTCTAGCACCATCTCATGGGCAGGGACACCTTCCACTATCCCAGGTTGCTCCAAGCCCCTTTCAACCTGGCCTTGGATGATTCCTGGGATGGGGCAGCCACAGCTTCTCTGGGCAACCTGTGCCAGGGTCTCACCACCCTCACAGGGAATAATTTCTTCCCAATATCCCATCTAACTCTGCCCTCTTTCCATTTAAAGCCATTCCTCCTTGTCCTGTCCCCTTGTCCCCTTGTCCCCTTGTCCCCTTGTCCAATGTGCCTCTCCATCTCTTCCAAAGCCCCTTTAGGAAGGGACTCTAAGGTTACCCTGGAGCCTTCTCTTCTCCAAGGGGAGCAACAGCAAGGTCCAGCCCTTCCCTCCTGAATGCTCAACCAGACTCCATGAAGTATGACAAAGACGATGAGCACCCAAAACTTAACTCAGCTGCAGCTGTGTGGTGGGTACAAACAACTGATAATGACAAGTACTACCAAAAATCATGCCAGGAAGGTTTGAACCTGGGCAGTTTACATTAATTCAACTTTTTGATACTAACATCCCTGTGCTTTTAGCTCCTTGTTTCCAAGCTGTCATAGTCTTCAAAATATGTTCATTACTACATCAAACTTTGTGAGACATGAAGATTCTGGGTTTGCAAGAACATGAGGTCAGTCAGCTTGGGGCTGAACAAAACAAAATGAGGAATGGGTGCTCCTCCATACTAGGCACTGAAAGAGGCAGGACTCCTGACAAAAAAAAAGGTGGTGCATGACCAGATTTTAGTGTCAAAGCAGGTTTAATTTAGTTTTTCTTAATTCTGAGTGCTGGATTGACCTTGGGTAACTTCTAGTGTCATTCTATGTGTGTACACGCAATTGCATTTTATTAGTAATCATACAATTTTATTGTGGGTAGATACAGGAGTACCCATCCTCTATGACTCCCCAGGCTGTGTTGACCTCCACTATCGTTCATTCACACCGCTCCATATAGGTTAAAGAAAGTGATTTAGTGATGTTTGTACCAATTACCATATTCCAAACTCAAATTGGTTGCTAATCAGGTTACCTCTGAAGTACAAATCAGATCTTTATCAGCTTAAAGGTATTTGGCAAGTGTCAAAACCACTTGGTAAAACTCAGTGGTTTCTGGGGAGCTACTATTTACATACTTTTTCATT